AAACTATATTATTGAAATGAAATACAAAAACAACAACCAACCAACAAACAAAAAATAAATACAGATCACCTAAGACAAGTAGAAGTCTTATGAAAAGCAAAAAAAAACAGGCTAACCAACACTAGTTATAGGAGGCAGTAGATATAGCCTGTGATCATGAAAGTAGAGAGAGCGAAAAGAAATATGTATGTGTAGCCAGACTTTGTATGCATTTTAACCGAAAACTATTTTGCATATTTAAATAACACTAAGAAATATACACAGCAAAAATTAAACATCAATATATATTATATATAGTATAGCAAAAGAAACCAATGACTGACCATACCATAACAAAAACTGACCATCAATATTATCATCTTCATATGTACAAGAAACATACTTACTCTCAAAAGAAATATACATACTTAAGTATGCCCTAATGTATACAGGGAGAATATGTATTTTTTAAGCCTTTTACAATGATAATACTACTTCGGAGAGGTGTATTGTGTCGGTCTATAAGTTTAAGAAAAGATGTTGATGACGATGTTGATGATGATGACGACGATGACAACAACACTAACTAAAGAACATGGCATGTGATGCGTTACGATGATCACCTAATCAAAAAGGCTAAAATACTTTAAAAAAAATAACTACAACAAAATATGTACATACAGATCTATAGCGCATGGCACAGTGTAACAATTGAGTCAATAATGTCTGCACAGTGGGAAAAAATATGCACGCCTAGTACCAAATTGACATCAATAACATCCGTTGTCAATTATATACACAGAGGAAAAAAGAAATATGCACGCCTGGTAGGAAATTGACACCAAACTGTTTATAATTTTTCAATATGTTAATCTAAGTTTAACTAAACCAGCTAATTCAAAGTTTAACTTAATCTATTAACATTTTAATTTTCGTATTTATTAGTTTTTGAAAATTCTTTAAAAAAATTATATTTTTTTAAATTTTTTTCTTGATTTTTATTAACATTTCGTTCAACTGTTAACTCATCTTAACAATTTGAGCTTAGCTAATATAACAAATACAACAACCACTACAAATACTTAGCATAAAAAAGCAGAACCAAAAAAAATTCTATACAATATATAGAGTTTTTTCTTAAGCCAAGTTAAGAAAATAAGTTTGAAACGTTAAGAACTTGTTTTTAATTCATTTCAACTATAGGTATGTTTATTTATTTTTGTTGTTGCTGTTGTTGTTGTTATTGTTCATTTCAAACTTACTTAAAACATATAAAGCCGATAAAGCTTTAGATGAAGAAGAAGAAGTCAAAACCACCATCAGGCTAAAATAGCCAAGCCAGACCAACTAGCCTTAGCTCAGTCGGACGCTTAGTTAAACAGCCAGTCAGCCAAACACAACCTAATGCTGATGATAATGATGTTAAGGTATTCATTTTTATTTAAAATTTTTTTCTTGATTTTTTTTTATTTTTGTTACTCTCCGATACTTGTTTTCTATATAGTAGAAGAACGAACAAAAATAAAATTTGTATTTAAGCTACAGAAGATGATGGAATCTAAATATTAACATACATAGCATGGTTAAGTAATGGTTTTAAATGATTAACAAATACAACAAAGTTGTGTTTAAAGCTCTTCTTACAGAAAAAAAATTTTTTTCTTAAAACTTTAGTAATTTTTAAAAGAAAATTTTAAATTAAAAATAAAAAAATACATACATTTAAGTATAGAAAAAAATGCTGATAATTTTTTTGTGATTTTTTGTAAAATTTATTTATCAATAAATTATGCTTTCCTGTTTAAGCATTTCAGCCAATTTGAATTCAATATTTGTAAATGTGTGTTTTTAGTGCAACAGCAGCAGCAGCAGTGCGTGTTGTTGTTTTTGTTTAATCCTACAATTTGTGCATTTATTCAACCAGCAAAACTTTATCTCAAAAAGAACATGTAAATTTACTTATGAAATGGGCCGGTTTATTTTTATTTATTTATATATTTTTATTTTGTTTTCTCCATTCAATTCTTTAATTTTTTTTGTTCACCATTCCATTCCCAATATTGATAAGACAATGAGCTAAAGCGAAAAATTCCGTCCAAACAAAAATTAACAAAAAAGGAAGAAAAAAAAGTTACAAAAAACATAGTGTTGCACTTTAAAAAATGCATTCATAAACATGAATCAGACAATCGGGAGTACAAACAAACAATCTGAGAAAAATTGCGAATTAAATAAATACGAAAGAATTGATAATACAACAATAATAACAACAGATTTAATGTAAAAAATTTAAATCACAAAGATAAAAATATTTTATCCGAAATTTGAAATAGGTTTGAACTGAACAGATTTTTCTATTCTAGTTGAATTCATTTCTAGCACAGTTTTCGTTCGATGAGTTATGTTTTAGTTCAATTCTAAATCAGTTCTAGTTCAGTTCTAGTTCAGTTCTAGTTCAGTTCTAGTTCAGTTCTAGTTAGTTCTAGTTCAGTTCTAGTTCAGTTCTAGTTCAGTTCTAGTTCAGTTCTAGTTCAGTTCTAGTTCAGTTCTAGTTCAGTTCTAGTTCAGTTCTAGTTCAGTTCTAGTTCAGTTCTAGTTCAGTTCTAGTTCAGTTCTAGTTCAGTTCTAGTTCAGTTCTAGTTCAGTTCTAGTTCAGTTCTAGTTCAGTTCTAGTTCAGTTCTAGTTCTAGTTCTAGTTCAGTTCTAGTTCAGTTCTAGTTCAGTTCTAGTTCAGTTCTAGTTTCAGTTCTAGTTCAGTTCTAGTTCAGTTCTAGTTCAGTTCTAGTTCAGTTCTAGTTCAGTTCTAGTTCAGTTCTAGTTCAGTTCTAGTTCAGTTCTAGTTCAGTTCTAGTTCAGTTCTAGTTCAGTTCTAGTTCAGTTCTAGTTCAGTTCTAGTTCAGTTCTAGTTCAGTTCTAGTTCAGTTCAGTTCTAGTTCAGTTCTAGTTCAGTTCTAGTTCAGTTCTAGTTCAGTTCTAGTTCAGTTCTAGTTCAGTTCTAGTTCAGTTCTAGTTCAGTTCTAGTTCAGTTCTAGTTCAGTTCTAGTTCAGTTCTAGTTCAGTTCTAGTTCAGTTCTTGTTCAGCTCTAGTTCAGTTCTAATTCAGTTCCAGTTCATTTCTAGTTCAGTTCTAGTGCAATCGCAATTTAGTTATATTTGACTCTAAGCTTTTGTTTTCAATTTATAACTTACGAATTCAATTAAGACTTTTCTCCTCACCATTCTCCTTTAAGGAGTACCTGTCACATTGGATTAATATTTCCCCTTTTGCAATCAAGATCAATGACACACAGACCCTACGCTAATTTGTAGCTTTTTCGCAAAATAAGAAAAGAAAAAAATAAATTCTTTACTACTTGGTATTCATTTGGGGTAACTTAACTATTCCTACGGCTAATTCAAGACCCAAACACACACACGTTTACATATAAAACTGAAAACCAATTACAAAATATATATTTATATTGTGGCACCTTACGGCTACAAAAAGAGCCAAAAAAAAACACAACAACAGAAAACCTTAAGCAACATTTTGTTAATTGCTTGTGCTTGAAATGACAATGTCTTTTGTATGAGCTACAGCAAAGGCAGTAACAACAGTAGTATTAATGCAGCAGTTGTAGTCAAAAAGTGGAGAAGACAAAAAAAATCGCGTAAGGCATATATAATGGTCATTTAATATAATTTTCTGTTTTCATACAGAAAACAGAAGAGAGTTTTCTGTTACTTAATGCTATTGTTGTTGCTGTTTAAGAAAATTTGCAATTTCGGACGACAGGTGATAAATAAATCGAAATAAACCTTATATGGGCGTTGAAATACAAAAACTATACACATTTAAAGTCTGTAGTTGTTGCTGCTGTACTCGAGCAAATACACGATAATGCTCATATAAAGGTTCACATTTTAGAGCTACTTTTTCAGTGTTTTTTTTTTTTTTTTTTTTTTGTTTTCCTTCTGAATTTAATTGTAAAATTGAAATGAAATGTTTAAGCAGAAAAAGTAACAAATGCATCCACGAATTGAAAAAGAAAGAATATCCTTCAATTTTTCTTCATGGTGGTTGGCGTTGATGAGTTTTATATGAAAACAACAAGTGATGTGAATGTGTCTTTTTCAACCAGGTTGACTAAAATGGTATAAAATGTTTTACGTTGTTGTTGTTGTTGGTGCATAAAAATGGTCGAGGAGGTGCGGTGGCGGTGTTGGCAATGGCAGTATGTTGAAGGTGTTGCCTGCTATCAATTTTCATTGCAAGTGCGAATTGGTATTTTTATTTATTTCAAACAAAAAACCAACAAAATTATCTTCTGATGATGACAATCATTGTAATGACTCTGAAAATGATGAATAAGACGAGGTGCTTTGTGTAGTAGAGAAAAGAGGCCCAGTGATTTGTGCTTATTTGACAACTTGTCTTTAAAAGAGTTGACATTTATTGTAGGGATTTAAGCGCATATTTAGGTGGAGTTGCAATCAGTTTCAGTCACTATGTGTGCGTTGTTTTCGTTTGTTATTTTTGTTGTTGTATTTCAGAGCCTAAAAGATCATGTTGGTTTTTGCTGTAACAAAATGATGCATGAGTTTTGTGATTTTTGTGTAAGACGACGACTTTGTTGTTGAAAATGTTAATTGTTGTTTTATGTAGTATAAAAAGGTATTGTTGGCTAAAGATTTGCTGACTTTAAAATTATGTTTAACAAAACAAAAACTCTGTCGTAGTTGTCTTTAAAATTGGTTAATTATAATGATTTATTAAGAAATCATCATATTACAGTCTGAATACGAAAAGAAAAAAAAAAAGAAACTGAGCCCAACAAGTTGTTAAAAGGAAATTAAAATTTATGAACTTTGTAGAGATAATGAGTTAAAAAGTTTAAACACGCACTAGAGTTATTTTTTCTATAAATAAAAGAAAACTAAATAAGTTTTTGTATTAAAAAAAGGCAATTTTTATGAAAAATTTTATTTTTTATATTAAACCCAAAAATTAACTCTCTTTATTTTTCTCTTTCTCTTTACAGATGGTAAGTTCTTATCATCACTAAATCCTACAGAACTAACATATGATGGTAAGTCACATTTCATCGCCTCATTATTAACACTTTATAATTTAAAAAAAAAATTCTCTTTAAATTAAAAAGCTAACTCTTAATTTCTTGCATGGCTTTAACTCTAAAACTATCAAAAGCAAAGTTAAGTTTTCAAATCTATATTAATGTAAAGAAATCTTTAAAAAATCACCACGAAACAGTAGCATTTTCAGGCAACACATAAATTAATTAAAAGCTTTTAAGCAAAAAAAAAAAAAAAAAAAACATTAATCAATATTAAAACAAAGAAAAAAATAAGAAATGAAAAAAAACCAAAAAAAAAAAATCAAATTAAATATTTTTTAAAAAATAAAGAAAATTATGTCAAGAAGCAGTTTTAGTTATTATTAAAGAAAATACTTCATTCAAAAGCAAAACAACACAGGATGTGTAACAACAAAGTTTTGTTTAAAAAAAAGGCAGCTGATAAAAATTCATTATAAAGTTTTAAATTTTAATTAAAAATTTTTGTTGCAAAACCTTCTTTGATGACGTTTTCTTCTTATCTGTTTTTGTTGTCTTCCCTTAAGTCTTTGTTGTTTGGGTGTGTATAAGATGAATAGAATAAGTGAAGACTGATGGACAGCTCCCGCACGCTAAATGATCGATCACGTTTCAAAGGGCCGTAATAAAAAACGCCCTATTGGCCTTAAACTTAATAATGGCCAGGAACTTATTATAAATATATTAAAAGATCACCTATAATGAGTTTTCAAAAGAGTCTTGACTTGAAGGAAGACACGCATTTTCATTCATTCACATTTCTTCATTGATGTTGGTGGGGTTTTCTTTGATGAAACCTCTAGTAGTAGTTTTTAATTTTGATTATATGTAATTGTTGTTGCTTTTAGAGTTTCAAAGCTACTGTAAAAGTATAGTGGTTTAAGAACGTGCTTGAGCGACACCCATTTTTTTGGTGGTAAGGCAAAGAATTTAAAAGAATTTATGTTTAAGTTTCTTAAGTTATAAAAAGCGTTGAAAAATTTCATCACTATGCTAACAAAGTAATCGCTGTTAAAGTTTCCAAAAGACACAGATTTTTTATTTTAAAAGTGTAGACATTTTTATTGATTGATTGTAATCTTTAGAAAAATAAAAGTCGGGCTTAAAAGCTCTCCTGAAAAAATTGACAAAAAATTTAAACTTAGTTCATACAATTTTCTTTTATTTTTCTATTAGTTGTATTTGACTTAAGTGATTATTTTATGCCCAGGCAAACAGAATTCAATTTCTTTTTTATGAATTATTTATGAAACAAATTGTTTTCCAAACAAAATCCAGAAAAAAGATATAAACTTTTATCCTTAAATATCCTGTTGATACCTCTACATATAGAGAGAAAAGCAGTAAGAAAATTGCAAAATGTTTGAAAAACAAAAAATGTAAGCAACCCCTCATAAATTTTGTATCTCTTAAGATGTTCTAACAATTTTGCAACATCTACCAGTATGTGACCAGCATCTTAAGTTAAAAAAAACTCCTCCCCCTTATCATGCTAAATAAAAAGACAAATAAATATTAACTTTACGAAAATGTTTCTATTAAGTTGAAAGAAAATAAAACAATTTTGTGTTTAATAATTTAAATTTCAATCTTCAAGAGATCCATAAAAATGACTATATGTAAGTAATGGAAATTTTATGATTATTAATACTAAGGAAACTATTTGAAATATTTCATTTTGAATTATGAATATTTTTAAGCTTAAAGCTGTCTTTAAAAAAAAAAACAAGCTCAAAAGTTTATGAACAATTTTAACAAAATTCCATTATTATATAAAAAAAAAACATTCAAAATTATTAAACATGGTTTAAAAAACATTTTGAAACTTTCACATTTTCAACTAAGTTTTAATTGACTTTATTTTAAGCTTAAAAAGCTTTTAATATACTAACAGATTATGAAATAAAAAAGCTGTTTTCATAAATCTTAAATTTAAGAAAATTTCATAAATTTTTTCAAACTTCTAAAGCAGCTACAACTAAAAACCATATACTATTCACCATTCACCTCTAGTATGAATTAATTCCTAGCTTTCGCTACACTTTACACCCAACTTAGCTACCGAAACTTTACAATAGCCAGTCGATCAGCCAGCTAGTTTGGCTACTACTCTAACCGCTACTAATTCCTTTAACAAATCTACCCATCCTAATAAAAGCAAAGATATAAAACATTTACTCTAAAAATTAGTTCTGCCTATAAAAAAAAAAAACGAAACGTAACCAGCTAACCGCCAATACGTAAAGTATTTAAAGACTTCATACACATATTTTTTATGACTCCTCTGGCCATTAAATCTTTTACAGAGTTGTTTAATTTTTTTTATGAGTTTTTGTTTCTCTCGTCTTTAAAGCATTTGAAGAAGCGAAAGAAGACAAAAAGTAGTAGAAGTATTTATTAAAAATATAATATGCAAAAATTTAAGAGTTGTTGCTACATTTTTAATAACTATAAAAATGAGTTTTATGATCAACACTAACAGTTTTTACACTTCATTTTTCATAATTTTTTGTTTTCTGCTCTTCGACTTTTATATGGTTTATATATATACATTCATCTATGTATATGGAAAACAAACCCCATAAATAAATAAATAAATATGAAAACAATAAAAACTGAACTATAAAAATGTTAAACATTATTTCCATAATTAACAGCGATTTGTTGGTGGCGTGGCCTGGCAACAGGCGAAAGAAATTTAAGAGAAAAAAAAAAAACAATTATAAAAATGTAGAAACTTACATTATAAGCGAAATAATTTATGTCTCTAATAAAGCTTTGTTTTGACAATTTAGTTTTAATAAAGATTTCATCTAATAACCAATTTTAAAATATTTGCCTAAAAATATGCTAAAGATTTTGCTTTAAATTAAAGCCTTAAAATAGACCCAAAATCTTGTATCTTTTTAACAATAATTTAAGACCCCTAAAAGTATACTTGATATTTTGTGTGCTACTAAAAATAACCAGACATCATGTTTATATATTTCACTAACAAACTTAAATCTTTATATTTAAAAAATATTATTATTATCGTTGTTTGTCTCTAGACATGTTAATTTTTCAAAACTGAACTTCAATTTGAAATTCTCCACTAACCCATATTAAAAGCCATTAATTTTAAAACAAACATAATAATAACTCCTCCCCAGCAAGCTACAGCCAAAAAAAAGTGCAAGTGAACAACGGCAGACAAAAACGAACAGTACAGATAAAAAAAACAAATAATAAATGGTGTTAACATTTATTTGTTACTATAATTTCTGGTAGTAGTTGTAGAGCTCCTCCATATGATGACGATAGTAATGATGATAATTTTTTTTCCAATTTTTTTTTTTGTTAAGAACGGTGACCTCTAAAAAAAGTGAAGTTTATATTTACTACTGCTACGTTTAGCTACAGTTACTAATAACTCGACACACAATAACATAACACACAACTTAGAACAAAAACACAAGTTTTAAATAATTGTCTGTCAGAACTGTCAAACAAGTCGGCAAATAATAAAATTAATGGGCACCACCATAAAGTTAAAGGCAAAAACAAAAAAAAAAGAACACAAATACAGCAACATTGACTTCTACAACACAATACACAGCAACAATTGTTCTTACAATTATGATTTGAAAAAAAAAAATACTTAAATATATAAAATTTTCTTAAATTCTTTTGTTGCATTTTTGGTTTTTTCTGTTTTCAATATTTAAAGAATGTTTATGGTTCAATGGCTTTTACTTTGTTGTTGTCTGTTATTAATTTTGTTCTGTGAACTGTATGTGTGTGTGGAATCATTGTTGGTTAACAAAAGTATGCAATGCAAAATTTTGTTCTCCACTTTTTCAGCCGCCAAGTTGAATTATTGTTTTATTTTTTTTTATTTTGGGCTAAAATTTATTATATTTTCGTGAGCTTTTTTACTTACATTTGTATATGGTAAGTAAGCGTGTGTATGTGTTTGTATGCAGACAACAATAACAAATATTCATTCATACAATTTATGGGCCAAAAATTTAAAACAGGCTAGAAAGAGATGGCCTACAACATATACAGACAATAAACCAAAAAAAGCAACAACTACAATAACATACAAACCATAATGTCTTGTAGTAAAATCATAGTATTTACGGGGATTTCCCTTTTAAAACAACAACAAAAACAACTTGAAAAAAAAAATAAAAGTGATATATTAATGTGGGAGCTTTGAACTCTTCTCTACTGTACTGATACTACTACCAACAACTACAACTAGTAAACTCTCACACACACACACACACACACAGATTTACAAACACATGCTTACATTGACTCGCAGCACACAGTGTGCTTTTAAGTCAAGATGAAAAATTATGGCTTTTAATTTGTTATAAATTTCACCAGCAGATTTTCAAGGTCGCCAACATTGCTTTTATTTTTCGTGCTGCTTTTATTGTTGTTGCTGTTGCTGATAATAATAGTAAATTTAAGCAAATTTAAAAGGGATTTCCTTAAAATTGATTTATTTTAAGTTTAATGTAAACATTTTTAAAGTCGAGTTGAATGAACTTTGGGTTTTAGAAGGAAGAAGAGGTTTCAGGAATAAATTTAAAAAGCTTTTGTAAAAAGAGCCTTTTTAAATTTTTTCTATTTTAAAAATGTTTATAGAAAAAGCTTTTAATAAAGTTTTTTTATAAAAAGCTTTTTAAAGAAACTTTTATTACAAAGCTTTTTTCACAATTTATTACCTGATTATTGTTTCTATTAGTTAAAGAGTGTTGTTTTTTAGAAAAAGTTATTATCAATGAAAAACGTTATCAGGAAGTTTTTATAAAATTGAGCTTTTTAAACAAAATGTTTTTAAAGAAAAAAAATTGTTTCATTTAAAAAAAAAATTAAAATGAAACAAATTATTACTATAAAATTTTTTTTATAAAAAGCTTATTTCAGTATTAACTAATTGAGTTTTATGAAATTGGGCTTTTTGAAGAAAAAGCTATATC